AGTCCATCATTCCTGCCCATCTTGTTGTGGTTCCTTCTTTGTCTTCAGTTTTATAAAATCTTTTCTGTTAGATTCTGGTCTGTTTCACAGATAGCTGTTCTGCAGACAGTTGTGATTTTGGTGTGCTCATGAGGGGAGATGTGCTCAAGGTCCTTCTACTCCAGTATCTTGGCCCCTCTTTCCCTATCCCTATGTTCTTTATGTCCTTTCTCTATATTCCAGCCTAGTCCATCTTCTCCCTGTCAGCACACGGTAGGCATTTGATAAATATGTGTTGAATGAATGAATGAATATCATGCTTCAAACTTCTCCTGGGAAATGTGATCCATCCCCATAGCTTCAATAATTAAGTCAAACTGATGAGGTCTAAATATCTATCCCTAAACTGTATTTCTCACCTGGGCAATAAACTTGCATCTCCACAAGTACCCCATGTCAATATGTTTACAACTAAAGATTTCCAATTAAATACAACAGAATAATCATATACAGTTATCTCTTTTCCTTCCCCAATCTCTGCTAAAAGGATGGCAAAGGAATTTCTTTAAGAAAGAAAGGGGGAAAAATGTACAAATCCACAAGGGTAAAGAGGACAGAAGAGAACAGTTAACTAAAGATTTCAACAAATTTCTGGAAGGTGGAAAATGGACAGAGGTGAAAATAACTGAGTTAGGAGAGTAGCAGGGATTAGGACAGTAGGGATGTGGTGTTTTATCTCATCACTAAGAATATTAATAAGTTACAATTTTTTTCTGCTTTTTAAATCGGCTGTTTCCTCCAGGTGCCTTTTCCCCCCTTCCGTTTCTCTTTTCCTTTTAAAGGTTTCTAAATGATAAAACATACTGGGTGAGGGCAGGGTGTGAAGGGGGGAAACAAAGCTGATTCAGCCTACAGAACCCTGGAAGGGCTCAGCATATGGAGACCCCAGGTACCACGGAGAACAGAGCTTATGCACTATCTGAACTGAAACATAGGTAAAGTGACAGTGTTTCATAATGAAATGTGATATACAGAGCCACCTTCTCAGATGCTACTCGGGAAAACTGAAGCTGGTTTATATTCACCAGGAAGATGAGAAGAATGTTCTCTGAGAAATTAAATAGCCTAAGGGGAAGGCTTCCAGGTATTTGGAGGTTCCCTCAACAACAAAATCCACTATCAACAAGCCCTGCTTATGCCAACATAGCTTCCATTCAGCTTTTTAATGCCCCATTCTTAAGTATGAACAGACAGAAATTCACATTGTGAACATAAATGTCAGACGGGGATTAACAAACATTTGAGAACTGAAAAAGAGAAAATGAAGGGGGAGAAAAGGCACCCGGAAGAAACAGAGCCAGTTAAGTACGAAGAAAAAAAATGGCAATTGATGTACTTAGAGATGAGAAAAGATATTACAACAAAAAAAGTACAGGATGTTATGAAAAAGGGAATAAACAGAAAAAACAAAGAGTGCTTGGGATTTAAAATAAGATAGCCATAAAAAATTATTCAAAAATTAGAAGATAACATCAAAGAAACCTCACAAAAAGTAGTCCCTCTTACCAGGGAAAAGAAAAAAGAAAGGTAAGATTAGAGGGGAAAAAACACTTTAAAAAAATAATTAGAGAATTGATTCAGGAAGACAATAATTGCCTAAACAAATCGCAGAAAAAGACAACAGAGAATTCTGTGGGGAGGAAATTATCAAAGAAGTAATACAAGTAAATATCCCCCTGGAAGCAGGACTGTGAGGTAGCGAGAAGTGAGGCAAAGCTTTTATTACTTTTTTATTTTTACACTGTGTGCATTTACTACCATGACAAACAATTTATAAGAAAACAAACAAAAAAACCCCTCAGTTTCTCACCCCCAAATCTGTGCTTTTCTGTATTCCCTTTCTCTGCTAATGTTATCATCACCAGTCAGCTCTAAAACAAGTTCTACTCTGGACAGATTTTTCACACATCTCTTCTCTATCTCTACTGTCCTCACCTGATCCTGTCACCTCTCCCTGGAATAGTTCCACAATATCATTACTGCTAGCTCTGTTTTTGGCCTCTACCTCCCTGCACTGCCCCCATCCTGCTATTGAAATGCTTTCTTTCGGCTACACGGCATGTGGGATCTTAGTTCCCTGACCAGGGATTGAACCCACACCCCTTACATTGGAAGTGTGGAGACTTAACCACTGGACCACCAGGGAAGTCCCCCCCCCCTTTTTTTTTGAAATACTTTTAAAAGTTTTTCTTGCCTGCAATGGACTGCTGACAATGCTCTTCTTTTGCAGTCCCCTACCTCTGGGATACATAAACCTTGAGGCTTAGAGTTGGTAGGTAGGTACTGTCCCTACCTACCTTATTCACCAAGGCCACTCCTAAACCTCCCTACCTTCTTCAAAACTCCAAGTTCTTCTGAAGAATATTTCATCTGACCATACTAGCCAATATTGCTCTTTTTGACTGTTACCTGGCTAATAAGTTACATTGGTTCACTGAAATTCTAGCACCTGGCTCACCAACTTTCTTTCTACCACTACTTCTATCATAATCCTTGACAATTTCAACATCCATATTTAAAAAAAAAAATCCTTCCAATACTCTGGCCTCTTACTTTTTAAATTTCCTCAACTTCATTGATATACTCCATTTGGGTCACCACTGCTGTGGTCATACTCTGGATCTTGCTGTCACCACCTTCTAACTACAAGCTCCTTCCTCTCCAGTTTCCCTCAAGCATCCCTGACCCAACATTCTCCAATAGCACTGGAAACGCTCATCAACTGAAAATTCTTCCTCACCACCCATCACTCAGCCCTTGTTAAATACCATGTTTTCAGTGCTATGATCACCCCCTTGAAATCATTTTGCTCCTTTCTCTCTCCATCCTACTTGCCCTGCTTGTCCAACCCTAATTAAGCCTTACTCTGCTCCTAAACCCAAGTAGCTAAACTTTCCTCCAGAAATGGAGAAAAACATGACAGAATCCTGCTAATTGGTCCCTTTTTGGACCAAAATTATCAAACGGCAAATAACATTGCCCATCGGTCAGTCCCACTGATTTCCCTGGTAAATTTGTCCTCCGCTCTCCAAAATGCTCACTTCTCTGTAACCTTTTCCCCTTCCTACTTGCAACAACACATGCCATCCCTTGGCTGACAGCCTTGCCTCCCTTTCAGGCCTCATTGAAAAACCAGAAGCTATCAGACAAGAACTGCCCGTATCCTCCTCCTACCATCAATGCTATTAACTCAAGCTACATCTGAGCCTATGTACTATGCATTCTCTCCTGAAAAAATGGAAGAAATTTCCTTGCTCCCACATAAGCCATCATTTATTTTTTTTGCTATTTAAGAACTGCACTGCTAAAACCGTCCTTGATCTCTCCTAAATCTTCAAGTACCCTCCTTCACCTAGATCATCAACATCAGCAGGGACACCTGTTTATTATCACCTATTGTAAGCAAAACAAACAGAAAATGTCCTTGACCTATGCCCTCTTCCAGCTCCCACCTCACTTATCTTCTCGTCACTCTAAAACTTCTCCCAAGAGTTGTCTTCAGATATGGTCTCCACTTTGTTACCTCCCATTCTCTCAACTTACTTTGCACTTTCATACTAGTTTTTCATATCATATATATATATATTACACAGGAGGGACATAGAACATGGTTGTTAAGCTTGGACTTTGAACTTAGTTCTTATCCCTATTCTGTGACTCACTTTTTTGTATAAAAGCAGCATAGCTTCTCAGTGCCTCAGTTTCAACTATAAGATGGGGATAATAAAAGTATCTCATAGGGTTGTTGTGAGGCTAAATGAGTTAGCACATATAAAAGCACACAGAATACTGCCAGGCATATAGAAAGTATTCAATACGTGTTTGCTATCTTACCATATGCAACAAGGAAGGCTCTTTCCTGCTTTTCCTTGTCTGTCAGGTAGCACTGGACAGACTGCACAATTCCCTGCTTCTAACACTTCTACTCATGGCTTCTGTGACATACTCTACTGGGTCTCCTTCTACTTCATGGCTGCTCCTTCTCAGCATCCTTGCTAGCTGCTCAATTTCTAAATATCTGAATACTCAGCCTTCTTTTTACTATCTAAACTCTTCCTAGGTAACCTGATCCAGTCCCGTGCTTTTAAATACCACCTACATACTGATGTTGCTTGAATTTGTATCTCCAATCCTGGCTCTCCCCTGAGCATCAGACAAGTATCTAACTGCCATTTCTACCAGGATATTAAGTTGTACCACAAATCTAACAGACCTAGAACAGAATTCTGAAGGACTCCCCTCTTTCCATTCTCAGCCTATACATCTGCTCCTATCACTTTCTAATTCTGTGATAGTTATCATCATTCACCCAGTGGATCAGGCCTAAAAACTAGAAGTCATATCTGATTTTTCCTCCTTCCCTCAACCAGACACCCAAATGTTAGCAGTCCTGTTTGCCTCACCTCCAAAATACATCCCAAATCCACCTCTATTTCTTATCATGTTGCTGCTGCCACGTTAATACAGACTATCACAATTTCTTTCCTGGACACTGCAAATCCTCCCAATGAGTCTCCCTGCTTTGATTCTTGGTCCCCAGCAAGCCAGTTTCCTCACACAGCCAGAGTAATCTCAAAGTATAAAACAGATCACATCAATTCCCTGCTTAAAAACTTTCAAGGGCTTCCCAATACAATTATGATAAAATCTGAACTACTGAACTCAGGATTATATATGATCTGGTGCTGCCTGACTCTCCAACCTTCACTCCTACTATTTTCCCCATTGCTTTCTCCACTCCAGCCACACCAACCTTTCTTCAAACACATCAGATTCATTTCTGCATTGGGGCCTGTGCACTGGCTGTTTCCTCTGACTGGATATCTCTTTCTGCAGATTTTAGCAAGGCAAGGCTAGCTCAGCAGCATGTTACCACTTCAGAGATGCCCATCCACCTAAAAGAGTGGACCCACTCCTCCACCCAGTCACTATTTATCCCAATAGTGCCCTGTTTTATTTTCTTTATAGCACCTAGAGCCACATAAATTATTTGTTTATATGTTTAGTATCTGTTTCCTATCACTGTCATGTAAGATCCCATGTGGGCAGCAGGGACCCTCTCTTATTCACAGATGAATCTCCAGCATCTAGAATACTCATTCGCACATAGTAGATATTCAGTAAACATTGATTCAACTTGAAGAAAATGAAGACAACAGTATTCACTTTTTGCCCTTAGCACAGGGGTAAATGAAGATCCACTCCAAGTACTGACAAGTTAATTTTGATATATCACCAGTCAAGATTGGTATGTTAAACAAAGTCAGTTATTATGTAAATCAATTATCACTAAAGAAAGAATATTGGTACATCTTATCAGAATTATCATCATACAAAAAAGAAACAAACTTGCATTTTTTGGTACTTCCATGTATTATTTTACATCCCCACAATAAGTTTCTAAATTAGATAAGGTATTGAACATTGAAAAAAATGAGGCACCTTCCAGATAAGCAGATGTAAAACTAGGTCTATAATACCTGTGTTCTTTCTTTCAGATCATGAATTTGTTGACATTATAGGTTGCCTAGATATTTTAGAGCAGTTCCAATCAAGTAGCAGTAGAGTCAAAAAGATATTTTAAAAACCTCAATAGAAATTTCAAACAGTTAATATAGTTTACAATGCCTAGAATACCAAGTATCTTGACTTTAAGAAAAATTGATTCAGGTTAAAAACACTAATCTCCTAGTAACAGGTGTATTGATTGGTTTGAAGAAGTCTTTGATGAACAAAAATGGAATTTTAGTAATAAATGTTTGGTGGTCAAAATCTTTTAAAAAATGCACCATTGGGGTAGTAAAACAGGGTATCACAGGCCCACAGGATCAAGTCCAAATTCTGTAGTATACAGAACCTTTTTACTCCGACCCCTGCTTCTCTCCCAGCTACTTCTCACCACATGTTCATGATGGTTAAGGTCAGCCTCATAACCATCTAGAAAATTCCTGCTTATCTTTCACCAACTCAAATGTCACCTCCTCTTTGTAACCTTTCTTAATTCCTTCTCAGGCTGAGCTATCTCTTATCTATGTTCTCAGATGAACTCTGAGCATGATTTTAAGTATAATGTATTACAGCATTTATTCTATGTTTTCCTGGCTAGGCTGTAAATGTTTACTGAATTAAAGAAATATATCATTCAAATTCCTAAATCAATATGCAAAACATTTCTCACAGAGCAAATGTTCAACTAACATTGGTCAAACTAATTAATTACTGATTGAATGAAAAGTTTTATTAGGATTATGGTTACAGCTAAAAGTTGCCTAAATGACTTAATCTGTGTAAAACTGAAGATTTTTTAGATATAACAACTATATCTAAAACGCCCAGGAACACAAGCCTATATATGCTGTTTTTTACACACAAGTTTATTGCTACCCTGGCAAATTCTACATTCTCTCACATAGGAGAATCTGCTCGTGTAGAATGATCACCTGTTAAGTTTCACTGCATATAACAGGTTCCAAGAAGGATGGTCAGGCCACAAAATCTCACCAATATTTTGACCCAACAAACTCTGACTCCTCCCAAACTGTTCTCTGCTTAGAAGTGAAAAAATAAAATAAAACCAAATGAAGATGCCTGAATTGAGTGCTCAGTCCTTATGGGGCTCACAGACCCCCATGAGCAGGAAAAAAAAAAAAAAAGAATTTTTCTAGATTTCTGACAATATGAATATTCTTCAAAGATCCCATTGCTGTTTCCTGCAGTTGATCAACACCATTGCAGGTTAATCACTAGAAACTTGACAACTGACTAACCTAGCAGAAACATGAAATACAGTCTAAATAGGAATCACTTTTAAATGAATTCACTGAACTTTATATTGCCCCAACAGATTTTCATTTCTTGATAGCCCACTAAGAAAAGATACAGACTTCTAAAACTTAATAAAAAGCGTTGAGTGCTACTTTAGTAATCCGTTGATATACTATCCTTAACGTGTATTTATTAAGATTTTTTATTTCAACTTCAGTAAAATATCACTCAACATTTAACATTAAAAAATAATGCATTGATATTTCTAATTTTAAAATTAACAACGTAACTAATTATAACTATTTGTACAAAGTATAGCAAAGTATAGCAAAATATTAGTGTCTCAAGATTACTACATACCAATCTAAGATTGAGTCCAAAACAGTGTTTTTAAATTTTCCTTTCAAAACCCAAACTTCATTTCTCTGTTACCAAACATGACTTCAGTTAGCGATTTACAAATATTTACACAGGGAAAAATATACCAAAAGCCATCAACAAAGACTGTTTTTGATTACTCTGGGATTCTAACCCATTTAGATTCTTCTAAGAATTATCTTGAGCATGCAGTTTAGAAATGCTTGTTTGAACAACTTAATCTTACATTGTTCATAAACATAAACACACAACATATAGTATGAAAGAACACATGAAAAATTGTTGCTTTTACTGGTATTAGAGGGTAGTTTTAATACAAGCTAAATACAAACACAATTGTTAGATTCAGTCACGTATCCTGCAAAACAATATGCCAAGATCAACCTTGAAGCATTTATAAAAATGAAAATGTATAAAATATCTTCCTCAATTAACTCTAAGGACTCTGTATACAAATGCAAGAATTTGAACTTATCAATAATACATCAAATGTTGAGCAACTAATTGAGCAGTAAAAAAACAATTTCTGATTTTAAAATTAAATAGCTCCAGGTAAAAGCATGTAATTTCCCACATCTACTATCTTTGTATTCTGCACAGAGTTCCAAGGCAAAGACTGCTTCTGGATTTATGCATTACCAGAGAGGATGACCTGTTTGGCTGGCTTATCACAGGCCTTTTAGTCTTCTTTCCTGATAGATCCTTTGCTCCTTTGGGAGGAGGCACAGGAGCTGGTTTCCATGGAATTGGGTTATAAAAGGCTGGCTCTGGATAAGAATTTCCACTGTAAAAACCTAAAATTATGAAAAAATCAGAACAAAACAAGAAGAAAACTTTTTGAGATCAAAGAAACTACATATTTTAAAATTCACAGAAAAATGTTAAAAGGGCAAAAATATTATTGATAAACCAATTTGACTCATTTAAAACTTGAACTCTCAAATATTTTCAAACACAGTAAGTATTGAAGTAAAAATTAAAATATAAATCTAAGCATTCAAAGAACATTAATGTTCACATCTATATATATAGAAACTCATAAAAGTTCTCCTAAGAAATTAATTTTAGAACCCTTGAAAAGAACAAAATCTTCATTTTAACTCAGTCTGGGAAACCGCTGATTGTGTACATGTTTCCCCTAGTTGGACACTAAAGTTTGCAGAAAAAATGTATGTTGCATATGTAGCTAAAGTGAATCAAGATTCTTGTTTAGAACCACTTAAATTCTAAATCACTGTCAATCAGATTTCATAATATCACTGTAATTTTGATAATTAAGAGCAGTAGAGCATTTGCAAAGATATTTATTAGAATAAAACTTATTTAAATGCAAAAAATAAAATAATCCATTATTTCACCAATTAACTTCTAGTCAATATGTATATTCCACCTAAGTTTTAACTTTACTATCCAATCATTTGGTTAAAACCACTGCTTATTACTCTTATTTCAAATAAGAGAACGAAAAAACAGAGCAGACCCTGCTCGGTAGCTGTAATGGATGACCTCTGTGACATGCAGGAGAGGCCTAAATCCTGACAGCAGGAATGTGTCATTCAGACATTGGCAACCCACTTTGACTGCATAGATATGTCAACACACACTTCACCACGATGGTCAAAACAAAGTCTGGAATATGTCCTATTGTGTGAACAAAACAGAATGGGAGTATTTTTAATAATAAATCACTTAAACAAGTGAAGGCAGCTGTCAGCAAGGCATGAGCTTCCAACATGAAGTACAAAGAAAAACATGCATTGCCATTTATAATCAGACCAAGCCTAAAGGCCAACCAGGTCTGTGTCTGGTTCATGTGCTGTCTAGTATTCCACCCTGCAAAAAGAATGTGCCGAAGACACTGGAAGCTCTGCCTCAGAGAGGGTTAGAAAAGGGGAAGAAAATGACCCCTTCAATATATCCTGATTAAGGCTTTAAAATCCAAGGAATGTAAGAAAATTTTACTTGTTTCTTAACCTTAGAAATCATTACTTTGCAGTTTTACCACTATTGCCTTTAAAATGTATCTGGTTTTAGAGAATGACAACAAATTTGTAGTATCTCCACAGGAATACAGTATGTTATAATCTTCCAGAAAATAGTAATTTGAAAGAAAAAAGATTTTTACACATTTCTATTTCTGTCAAAAGGAAACATAATATATAATATTCACTCCTGCAAGCCATATTTATGTAACCCACATAACATAAAAACCAACCTGTGAGTTTTCCATTGGCATAACCATAGCTCTTTGCAGCTGGACGAGGTTTATTTTTTGCATTTTCCAACCATTCCTTAAACTTTTTTTCTGCTATTTCCTTTTTTTCCTGTAATTCAGCCTGCCGTTGTTTTTCTTTTTCCTTAAAATGACAAGACCAAAGAATCTCCAGGGATATTCTGTAACTAAAAATTCTATTCAAATTCTACTGACTCTTTTCCCCAGTAGCTCCCCATCCCAATGGCTTTCTGATCAGAAATACTGAATCATAATTCTATAGAGAGCAAAATTTAACATGATCAGGGATGTGATATGAAGGTGGCTGCCTCTAAACAATGACATTAAACCTAAGAAGAAAAAAGCAATTTGCTGTTTTAAAATAGAATAGTAGTTTATAATAATGTAATAAAACTTTCCATAAAAGTGCATTGAATAATATTTAAAAGCATAAACAACAATAAAAAGTTTGAACCTGACTGCAGAAATATCAATAGGCTTATTAATACTTCTCAACCTAAGAAAACCACAAATGCATATTCATTTCTGAAGCTTAATTATAGTATAACAAGTAGGGGTAGCTACATGTATTTATATTATGATAAGATAGTGCCAATTTTCTATTAGAAACTCTTTATACAATATAGCTGGCACATGTAAACACGAAAGTCATGTATTCTAACTGAGCACTTTAGTGAAAATACCTTTTCTTTCTTCTTCTTCTCACATTCTTCAGCATTTTTTTTCTTTAACCATTCTTCATATTTTTCTTTTGCTTTTTCTTGTAAATGTTCTTTCTCCAGCTCCTTTGCTGCTTTTTCCTCCTTCTCTTTATTAATTTTTTGTTCCCTTTCTTTTCTTTTCTTAAATAAAAATGAAGGAATTTTAATTGGAGTATCTGTAATCATCCTCATACAAGGGAGAAGTGTTATATGCAGCAATTCTCTAAACTTCAGTTATTTCTTAAAATAGGTGGTAAAATAGTGGTTGACACAGTGTGGCTTATGAAAATATATAACATACCTGCACTTACCTGATCAATTTTAGTCTACCAGCTTGAGTATACGTTTCATGATGGCCATAACAAAGGTCTTGCTTGACAAAGTACACTCAGAGACTGGAACAGTGTTAAGTAAATAGTAGGTGTTCTATAAAGATTTGCTGAGTAAATTAGTGGACAGAAATTATGACCTATTAGGCTGTCCTGAATCTTAGTGTTTTTTGATGGATGTTTTTACCCCCACTCTAAAACAGGAGCCACATGTGTACACATTCCCCAGACAATTTGCCAATACAAATACTTGGATAAATTTTCACCATCAAAGAGTTACAGAGCACAAATTTTGGGCCATTAAGTACTGCTATAAGGGCACATACAGACAAATCTCTGGCTATGTAATTCTTATAAGCCTTACACAGACCAAGGATTGGCAAACTATGGCCTGCAGGCCAAATATGGTCCATCAACCACCTGTATTTGTAAACAAAGTTTTACTGAAATGTGGCCACACATTTATTTACATATTTATTGTCTATGCTGCTTTTGCACCACAACAGCAAAGTTAAATAGTTGCAACAGAGATTGCATGGTCCACAAAGCCTAAAATTTTATCTAGCCCCTTGAAGAAAAAACTTGACACAGACTATAAGTCAATGTTTCTTCCTTTTCTCACTCAAAAGATAATCTACCAACACAGCTAAATTCTAAATAACCAATGACATGGCTAGCTCTCTTTATCAAAGGTTTAGAAAATAATCTGCAAACATGAAGTATATGCAATACAAATGCCATATACATCACCCTTCATCGAGCAAAGAAATATGAGCCAAGAAATTCTTCCCTTAAAAGCATCTTGTAGAATACTTTAATACAAGCAATTCAAGTAAGACCCAAGTAACGAACATCAGTTACATACAACATATGTCCAGTGCTGTGCAGGAAAGGCGGGTCTTAAAAATCAAAGCACGGGAATTCCCTGGTGGTCCAATGGTTAGGACTTTGTGCTTTAACTGCTGAGGGCACAGGTTCAATCCCTCCTCAGGGAACTAAGATCCCACAAGCCTCGAGGAGAGGCCAAAGAATAAAAAAATTAAAGCCCCTGTTATTCCCCAAGTTGCTATATTTCCTTATTGTTGGTCTGCCAATAGCTGCAAAAGGAAATCCTTTCTTGCTGAGAACTCAATATCCATTGAAATGATGCTGGAATTTAACTATTGGGTTAAATTCCACAAAGAAGTTAAGTAAATCTGCCCAAGGTCGCACAGATGGTAAATGACAGATCACTACATATCTCTTATATACATATGAGAGAACGCTGAAAACAATTTTTTGCCAATAAATTCAATTTAAATAAGATGTCAAAATTCCTTAAAAATACATCACTTTCCAAAACCAATTCAAGAAGAAATAGAGTAACTGAATGAGCCTCTACTTGTAAAAACAATTCAGAATTTAAAACTTTCCCACAAAGAAAACTCCAGCCTCCAGTTGCTTCATTGGTAGAGTCTATCACACGTCTAAGGAAGCAACAGTACCAATTACTACACAAATTGTTTTAAAAAACAGAAAAAGGGAACACTTCCAAGCTCATTTTAGGAGCCCACTATTTCTCTAAAGTCCAAACCAAATATGAAAATTACAAGATAATATTAGGAATAAGTCAAGATAACTGCTCTCATCAGAAACATGAAATACTTAGGGATACATTTAAAAAAGATGTATAATACCCCTGTACACTGAAAACAAAAAAAAAGAAGAAAAAAACAGATAAATATGGCTTAAATAAATAGAAAAAAAATCATGTTTATAGATTTATAATTTGATATTATTAAGATAGCAAATTTCTCCTGAATGATCTATATATTTAATGCAATCCCAATAGTATCAGGCACTATTCAAGCAAGCATGATTAGGGAAATTGATAAGCTAATTCTAAACGGAAAGGGTGCAGAGCAGCTAAAACAATTCTGAAATAGAAGAAAAACGATGGAAGACTTACACTATTTGATTAGAAGAATTTTAAATTCAAGAATTACTATATAAAGCTATAGTAAGCAGATAGTGTAGTACTGGCATAGGATATGGATCAATTGAACAGAATACAGTCCAGAAATAGACCCAGACGTATTTGGTCAATAGATTTGAAATAAAAATGGCAGGGTAACTGAGTAGGGAAAATATTATCTTTCAACACAGTGTTGGAACAACTGTATATCCATATTCCAAAAAAATGAACCTTGAGACCCTTATCACATGCCAACATTAAAATTAACTCAAAATGCAAATAGGTAAAAGCTGAAGTTATAAAACTTCTAGAAGAAAACAATGGAGAATATTTTATAACCGTGGCATAGGCAAACGTTTCTTTAATAGAACACAAAACCCACAGACTATAAAAAACAGAAATATGGAACTTAACCAAAATTAAAAATTTCTGCTCTTTAAACATATAAAAAAATTAAAAGGAGGAAATATTTATAATACATGTTACAGGACTTAAAGGAATATAAGAAGAATTCTTACAACTTACTATTAAGACACACAAAATGGGAAAAACTTAAACACTAAACTAAACAAACAAAAAACAAGAGATGTAGAAATGGTCAATAGTGCTATGGATTGAATTCTGTCCCACCAAAATTCATATATTGAAGCCCTAATCCTCAATATAACTTTTTTTCTTTTTTTTAAATTGGAGTATAGGTGGTTTACAATGTTGTGTTTAGTTTCAGGTGTACAGCAAAGTGATTCAGTTATACACAGACACATTCATTACTTTTCAGATTCTTTTCTCATATAGGTTATCATAGAATATTGAATAGAGAGTTCCCTGTGCTATACAGTAGGTCCTTGTTGTATACAGTAGTGTGCGTATGTTAATCACAAGGCTCCTGATTTATCACCACCCCCCCGCCATGTTTCACCTTTGGTAACCATAACTTTGTTTTCAATATGTGTAAGTCTGTTTCTGCTTTGTAAATAAGTTCATTTGTATCATTTTTTAAAAATTTGATACCACATATGAATGACATCATATGATATTTCTCTTTCTCTGACTTACTTCCCTAAGTATGATAATCTCTTGGTCTATCCATGTTGCTGCAAATGGCATTTTGTTCTTTTTTATGGCTGAGTAATATTCCATTGTAAGTATGTACCAACTCTTCTTTATTCCTCTGTCAATGGACACTAGATTGCTTCCATGTCTTGTCTACTGTAAATAGTGCTGCAATGAACACTGGGGTACACCTATCTTTTTGAATTATGGTTTCCTCCAAATATATGCCCAGGAGTGGGATTGCTGAATCATATGGTAGTTCTAGTTTTAGTTTTTTAAGGAACCTCTATAATGTTCTCCATACTGGTTGTACCAATTTACATTCCCACCAACAGTGTAGGAGAGTTCCCTTTTATCCACACCATCTCCAGCATTTATGCTTTGTAGACTTTTTGATGATGGCCATTCTGACCGGTGTTAGGTGATACCTCATTGTAGTTTTGATTTGCCTTTCTATGGTAATTGGTTATGTTGAGCATCTGTCCATGTGCTTTTTGGCCATCTGTATGTCTTCTTGGGAGAAATGTTTACTTAGATCTGCCTACGTTTTCAAAAAATTTTATTTTATTTACTTTTTTATACAGTAGGTTCTTATTAGTCATCAATTTTTTATACACATCAGCATATACATTGCAATCCCAATCGTCCAATTTATCACACCACCATACCCACACCCCCATGGCTTTCCACCCTTGGTGTCCATAAGTTTATTCTCTACATCTGTGTCTCAACTTCTGTCCTGCAAACCAGTTCATCTATACCATTTTTCTAGGTTCCACATACATGCATTAATATACGATATTTGTTTCTGTCTTTCTGACTTACTTCACTCTGTATGACAGTCTCTAGATCCACCCATGTCTCAACAAATGACCCAATTTCATTCCTTTTTATGGCTCAGTAATATTCCATTGTATTTATGTACCACATCTTCTTTATCCATTTGTCTGTCGATGGGCATTTAGGTTGCTTCCATGACCTGGCTATTGTAAATAGTGCTGTAAAGAACATTGGGGTGCATGTGTCTTTTTGAATTATGGTTTTCTCTGGGTATATGCCCAGTAGTGGGATTGCTGGATCATATGGTAATTCTATTTTTAGTTTTTTAAGGAACCTCCATAATGTTCTCTATAGTGGCTGTATCAATTTACATTCCCACCAACAGTGCAAGAGGGTTTCCTTTTCTCCACACCCTCTCCAGCATTTGTTGTTTGTAGACATTTTGATGATGCCCATTCTAACCACTGTGAGGTGATACCTCATTGTAGTTTTGATTTGAATTTCTCTAATAATTAGTGATGTTGAGCAGCTTTTCATCTGCTTCTTGACCATCTGTATGCCTTCTTTGGAGAAATGTCTATTTAGGTCTTCTGCCCATTTTTGGACTGGGTTGTTTGTTTCTTTAATATTGAGCTGCATGAGCTGTTTATATATTTTGGAGATTGATCCTTTGTCCGTTGATTCGTTTGCAAATATCTTCCCCCATTCTGAGGGTTGTCTTTTCTTCTTGTTTATGGTTTCCTTTGCTGTGCAAAAGCTTTGAAGTTTCATTAGGTCCCATTTGTTTATTTTTGTGTTTATTTCCATTACTCTAGGAGGTGGATCAAAAAAGATCTTGCTGTGATTTATGTCAAAGAGAGTTCTTCCTACATTTTCCTCTAAGTGTTATAGTGTCCAGTCTTACATTTAGGTCACTAATCCATTTTGACTTTATTTTTGTGTTTGGTGTTAGGGAGTGTTCTAATTTCATTCTTTTACATGTAGCTGTCCAGTTTTCACAGCACCACTTATTGAAGAGACTGTCT